TATATATATATATATATATATATATGTATTCAAATTTAATTGTAAAAAAATTTATAGTGAATATATTTCGCGGAGTATCTAATAAAATATCTCGCGTAATTCTTGTAGCTTCAGGAATCGTCGAAGATGTTGCATGCAACGCGTGCTTGGATACAATCCAAGAGATAAGTAGATTGTATCCCTTTTCAAAGGGGCACATTATTCTAAGGAAGCCTGAGAAGTGCCGTGTCTACGCGAAGCAAAAATCAAATGTAATCATCGCGTGATGCGTTTGTTTCCTTTTTGCGAATTAAGGCAGCTATTAGCGCTTTCTTACCGAGGAAGCGATTGTAGGTCTGTGGCTGGAAGACCTCTTCTGGTCTGTAGAACAGGAAGCGGAATGGCAGGAAGATCTTCACGTCAGGGCGTTGCTGTAGAAGACCCTTATCGATGTGGGCGGCATTCTTTAGTTGGCTCACGCAAATTGCATCTTCGCGTCGTCGGTTGCAAATGGCATCCAGAGGATTTAGAACCTGAAAAGAAAAGATGCTTGAAAGTTCGCTCTTTTTGTGTCTTCGTCTAATTTATTAACTTGTTTCAGACAGTGCCAATTTTAAATGACCACCACACCGCGTGGATCACGGTATTTTTCTTTCTATTTCTATGTATTTCATAATGGTTACAAAATTTTTTTTAATTATTAAAGAAGAAAGCCTAATGTACCAGTATCATCATAATTAATATACATCCGTATATATCTGCAGAAATTATTTTTTAATAATTGCATTTCTCTTTAGAGCTAAAATATTAAATAGAAAGTTTTGCGTGGTTTACCGCTAATCTATGCGGAATGTACGTTAATTTATTAAGAGGAATGTTTTAATTTAATAACTGAAAAATTTTTTATATGTACAATAAAAAAAAATTTTGCATTATATGCAACTAATTTTTTCACATTTAATATTTAAAAACATAGAGCAGATTCTATGCAATTCTATGTTACTTTTTCATTTGTGAGACGTTTCATTTGTGTTGCGTTAATTCTTTCCAAAATATATTTTGAATTACAATTTATAAACATTCAATACACTTCTTTCTTTTAAATACAAATATTTCGAATTTGAAGGAGTTTCATTTTAATATATCAGACTCTTCTATTCTATGTTTTTAAGTGTTTAACATCATTCCTTCTATAACTGGTATAGATTGGAAAGTTTTCTATTATATCGTTTGAAGATAATTTTTCGATTTTTTCTTACTATTACATTTGTTTATATGAATTGTAATAAAATCAATATCTTAAATACTATCTACATATTCGATAATTATATAGATAGTATTTAAATTTAAATAAAGAACTATAATTTCTATGTAAGTCTTTTTCTAAGAGTTACGTACGAGTTTCTTCTATTAGTCTCATTCGCACAGATGGCAGTACATGTTGAAATAAGATTTCATAAGATTATTAAACTTATGAAAAAAATTTAATCTTGTCTCCAAGCAAAGTACTGTACGATACGCATCGTTTTTAATGTTAAAAATAAATATATACTTACAACTCCCTGAGGAAGACCAAAGTCGTATGTAGGCGGTGCAGTAGATGGTTGGTAAGGACCTCGAGCATATCGCAGAATAGCCAGCTGCTGCGCTCGCGGAATTCCGCATTCTCCGAGAGAACGAAGCTGAATCCAATAAGCGCCGATAGGTTGATCGGCATTTATAACGAAATCGTAACGTTCACCTAAGAGAGAATGTAAAATTGTATATGACATTTGGCGCGGGATGATAATAGAATCAACTTGTAATCGGCCTAAGAACGCACTTAAGAAGTTGAGTGTCTTATAGAATCTGTCATATAAATAATTTTTACCGATAAATTTTTTTTAAATAAAGTATTTGACTGAATTAACTATTTATCAAAAATTACTTTAATTTATTATTTATTATATGCATTTTTATAACAGGCCTGTCTAATTTGAGCTCCGAAATTAAAACGTAAAGCTATCGACGCAAAAAAATTCATTGTAAGATTTTAAGGACTTTCAGAGACTTTAAAATGTTAATAAGTCACTCAGATACGTATCAATATTTTATATTCCCCAAAATCTTACTTACATTGAATTTTTTTGCGTCAGTGACTATACGTTTTAGCTCTGAAGCTTAAATTGAATAGGTCTGATTTATAATAAAAAAATGTTTCATTTTTCGTGATTTTTAACTGTTTTATCAGAAAATTCATATTCTCTCAATATATTTTGCCTTATTTTATGAATGATTTATTATTGTAATGTATTCATCCATTTTAATTTTAGTTAAAATGTAATGCATTTGAATTAATTGCTTTACCTGAGAATGAAATTATAGTGTTGACTTGTACTGGCTGTACTGCTACACCATCGGTGGCGATAAGAGTGAGAGTGTGACCCTCGACCGTAATTTGGGAGGGGCATACAGATCCGTAGGAATTAATCAATCGGAATCGGTAACGACGGCCTGGAGTTATCGTGAACACTTCGAGAGGTGTATTTGTCATAAAACCAGTATTAGGATCCTACAACAAAAAATGCAAGCTATTAATACAACAAAATATTAGAAATAAAAAATATCTGTTCAGAAATAAATTATAATCTGGTTTTTATAATAATATAATAGTTAATAAATACTAAAATGTCTCGAAAATGTTAAATTTCATTTGCAATTTTATTTCTATGTGAAAGAATGTACATTTACTATAAAAACATTTCTATTAAGAATCGTAAATCAAAATGTGCTTGTTAATAATGTCAGATAATATTATTCTCTGTTCGATATAATATATTAATATTCTAACAATAAGTGAGACGTACCCTGAATTGACCTTTCCCGTTGATCAGCACGCTTTCTGGTGCTTGACCGGTGTTGACTGCAAGACGGCCGGGGAAACGTTCTTCAGCAAACTCGTGGAACCAGTCACTGATGAGCATCACGTGCGTGGTTAAGTCGTAATCGTACAGATTGCTATTGGGATCTTTACTCGGTGGCTGTCGGATTACTATGCTTCCATAGAGACCATCTATCTTTTGCATGCCAGTATGAGCATGCCAGAAATGTGTACCCTCATTTCCGGCTACCCATTGGTACCTTTATATGCCATGTAATCATTTAATATTATGAATATATAAAAATGAATATATAAACCCGTCATATAAATTTTATAATATATGTATATATACATACATATATTAATTTATGCACATATGTAATGTTCAAATTTTAAGAAAACATTTACAATAATAATTACAATTTTTGTCAATAATATTAGGAGTATGATTTTTGAGGGTTTTTTTTTTAAAACTGATTTATTTAAACAACATATCATGTAAATATTTAATAACCGTTGTACGAACATATCATTCTATCGCAAGTTTTGAAGTGGATAGTGCTGGATTTTTGTTTAATAATACTTTCAAATCTGTGTTTTCCAGTTTTTAACATTGAAATTACCATTTTGAATCGACATTAATATTCATGTGTTAATATTATATTGATGGAGTAACATCAATATAAATTTCTATCATCTTCTATGATCTTCAGCCGCCGTTTTTTTCTGATTACAAAAGCATGTCAAAAATGCTCTTTAGGAAGCTCTATTTTTTAAATAAATAAACATGATATTTACTTCGTCTATTTTAATAAACGGCTAAATATCATGAAATAATACTAAGCATTAAGAAATAATAGCTGTAATTGGAATGTCTTTGACAACACTGACATTAGTGTCATCTCTTGCAAAACCCTCAAAACTAAATCACGCTCTTAATAAGTTATTATATCATTCCAAAACAGTATAAACTTTATTTTAAGATATTAGGAACAGTTCTTAGTTTTTATGAATTGAAAAATTTAAAATATATTTTCTTTTCTTGATTGCTCATATTTCATTAAACGTAAGCAATCTGTGAGAATAAAAAATTTTATTTACACCAACATCTAAACAATTAAAAATTATATCCAAAAATTTTGTTTTATGAAAAATATATAAATTTGTTATACTAAAAATAAGATCGCGTACCTGAATGTATTACCCTGCTGAATCGGACACTGCGTTACGTAAGGTACACCATCGTAATACTGACTTCCTCTCTGCCACACGCCGTGCCAGTGAATCGTGACTTCCGATCCTTGAATATTATTTTCTACGTCAACCACGACTTTGTCGCCCTGACAAACTTGAATGCTCGGGCCGGGGATCATTCTGTTCGCAGTCAGGATACCTCGTTCCACTCCGTCCGCCAAAACACATTGACACTCGCTCCATATGGCGTTGGTAGCGTTCGGTGTGCATACTTGGCACGCTCTGAAAATTTATGGTAATTTTATACAGTACTAATTAACAAAGTCATGCAATTCATCATCCTAAATTATTGCAAATCAATATATAATATAAATGTATAGAGCAGTTCAATTTCAACTATATTTTCTAGTAATAAGAATTAACACTGACTTTCTAAAGTACATTTAGTTTTCTCGATT